TGGAAGAAGAGATTCAATTAAGAATAAAGAATTCAGTTTCTTTAATTAACGATTATAAATTATTGAGTAAAGAAATACAGAAATCTAAGATTTATTAAATAAAAGCAATAAGATGGCAAAGGAACTTACAAAAGATTTAAAAAGATTGTTTCTATCAGTTAATGATGATGCAGATTAACTTCTTGATAATTTAAATTCTCCAAGATTAACTAAATAAAATGTATTATTAGTTAAAGCCAATCTTTATGATAAATTAATGAGGGCTAAAAAGAAAATTTAAATTACAAACATTTTTAGAAATTTAAAATAAGATTCTGATTAAGAAGTCAATGAGAGTCCATTAAATTAAACTGTGTCTGGCTAAATTAGTAAATAAAAAAGCTTTTTTAGAATGATGTCTGATAGAAAGCAAAATAAAAGAAAAATAGGAATTAAAAGTCACTCTTATGAAAATATAAATTAATTAATTATACTCAGAAATGAAGAGTATGGGGAATTGCCATTTGATTTTTTAAATGAAGTACTTTTATAAATTCATGATGATATGTTAGGAGATATCGATGAACGTCCTATAAATTAATAAAAATAATCAATTATTATACCTGAAAGTAGTGAAATTATTAATAGAGAACCGTCATTTAGAATTAATTCATTATAGTATAAATATAATAATATTTAAGTGGATTTGATAGTCCAATGAATAAACTTAATTAAACTAACTGTGGAAGTTCTAATTAATAAAAAAGAAAAATATCCGATTTTTCAGGTTTTATTGACAAGAAAACAATAATCAACTTAAAAAGCATTTCAATTCATCCATACTCTACTCATGAATGTGGATTAAGAAGTATAACAGAGATTTCAAAAAGCAAAAAGAAAAACTCATATACTAAATAACAAATTGATGAAATGCATCAAAGAACAAAACCAAAGATACCTCATTAATTTGTTAATTATAACAATAATCTTAAAGATCTAGATAAAGGTATAAATAAAGATGAATTTCGATAAAAACATTCTAGGGCATCTATTGTTGATTTATATTCTCCTCATCAAATGTACTTAAATATGCAAGATCAATGTTCTTGTATTGAATGCCAAAACTTAAATATCAAATAAAATTATTGAATTCCTAAAATTTAGTTTGATTTTTCAATTTATATCAAGACTTATCATCAGCGCATAAATAATCTAAAGCAAATATTCACTTTCATAATTTTTATTTGATAATTAAGTCTACTTGTTTTGATATAAATAAATTACTGTCAAAATTTTCTCTATTTTATTTCAATTATTGTTTTTATAATGTTCATATTAGATTTTTATCTAATGCTTTTTTTGATTTTTTCATTCCACATATAATATGTGTTATTAAAGAAAAAATTATTATAAGATATTAAATTCTTTACAAAAAATTTGAAATTCGCCTTTCAAATATTAAAATATCCATTTTACATTCAAAAATTTTTAGAATTTTTTAGAAATAATATGAAAATTATTGAATTGATGCTCCTCTCATTTGAATTTTATAAATCTACAATTATATAAAAAAGAATTAAAAAGATTAAAACTTATATATGTATTAATCATTATTCTCCTTAATCTTCAAATCCGAATAAACCTCTTATATATTCTGTGAGAATTCTCCTGTTAAACCTCTACTGAGTATTTCGGCTGTATGATCTCATTTTTTAAATGTATTTTTGTGAACTCCCTGTATGTCTTTTAGATATGTGTCCTCCAAGTGCTTTAAAATTTTTGAATCTCTGGTGACAAAAGCGACATTAGTTTGTCAAATTTTTGGCATTCTGTGATTTTATTTCACCCTAATATTATTAAATAGGATTTATCATATTTGGCTTGGTTATCAATGATAATTATTGGGATGGTTAATTGTTATTATGGTCATCCTAAAAAATATGCCATACCTTATTATCATTTTTTGAATGATTTTTTTTATTGAAAGATACTTTTGAATTTAATTTTTCCATTGATACAAAAAAGCCAATTCTAATAAATCAAAAGATTTCCATAGTTATTATTAATAATGAATTTGATTAGTTAATTATAAAAATAAACACTCTCAGACACTAGCTTTAAATATAAATAAAGATTGCTATGGTAGTAGTTAATTTTAAGAAATGTTTATGATATGAGAATGTATATATGGTATATTTAAAATTTAAAATACTGAGATGGAGTTGAATAAATAATCTTATAATATTAAACTAAATATGATGTATAAAACTAATTTATTGTTCAATTCATTAATAATAAAGAAATACGAGAGATTAGAGAATGCATCATATTTTAATATTCACAGTTTCTTTAAATGATTGATGAATTAAACATTTAAGGAGAACAAATACTTTTAGATATAAAAATTGAAGATTGATAATATAACAGCTTTGATTGAGAAGATGGTTGTAAATTTTAAGGGCTTAGAAAATAATGCTTGATAAAAGTGGAAGAGTAAAAATTCATGTTATAAAATACCCTAAGAAATTAACAATTATTTTAAGATTTATTCAAAAATTTGGCAGGAAATAGATATTTTAATTGCTTTCTGTTGCAGAATATTTAGATATTCCAATTCTTATAGTAATTTTTTGAACATAATTTAGTTCATTAATAAAAGGTAATTGATTTATTTATCTCTATGATCAACCAGTAACAGTAATCAACTAATTTTTTCGAGACAAGAATTCTATTACAGAAATATAGTCATTCGCTTTAGTATTTAGAATTAGGATAAATTTTTTTATTAAAAATGTGTTTTATTTTGAAATTGTCTAAAGAAGAATTATCATATCAATAATTGAAATGCGAATATAATAATAGATTCATATTGTAAGTAAGTAGAAGAGAATAAGTAGTAATTAAAATAATATATATTGTATTGTGTGTCTTAAGGTTTATCCAATTTTAAATATAAATAAATAAATAAATTCAGATATGTTTTTGAGGAACAGATTGCATTCTCTGCGCAAATTAGCCTAATTTTGCACAGCTGAAAGTGTATCAGGAAAGAAGACTCCTTCAACATAAGCTTAATAGACAAAAGTAGAGAGAAATTTCTAATTGCAATTCTCAAAATCAGCATTAGTGGACTTTGGAGAATTGCCAACAGGAGAAATACCTGAAGCTTTGAAGTATGATAGACCTTAAGGTAAAGATATATATTGAAGTTTAAGCCTTGACTTAATTAGACAGTGGTTTGAGAGTAGTGTCTGAATAATATAATTCTCCATTAGCTTCAATAACAGTAGCTGTGAAAGCAGGATCAAGATTCGAAACTTTAGAGAGTTCAGGTGTATCAAACTTTATTTCAAAATTAAACTTAAGAGTATAATTAAGTATCTATAATAGGGTACAACAACAAGATCAAGAGAATAAGTCGAAGCAGAAATTGATTATTTGGGAGGATCTTTAAAAGTTAAATAAGGTAGAGAATTATAGACTTATACACTAACATTTTTACCATCAGAATTAGAGAGAGCAGTAAATTTTTTAGGAGATATATTGACAAATTCATTATATTCACCAGCATAAATTGAAGCAGAAAGAGAAGGAATATATAGAGAATCAGTTAGCATAAACGATTAATACAGAGTAGTAGCTGAATCTGCTCATTATACTAATTATAGAGATCATTATATGGGTTAACCAGCAGCAGGAATCAGAGATAATATTCCAAATGTTACAGAAGAATAGATAAGATAATTCCATAAGGCTAATTTTGTAGCACCAAATGTTGTAGTATCAGCTGCTGGAAATCTAAATCATGAAGATTTTGTATCTGCTGTTGATAAAGCATTTAAAGGATTAGGTACATCTGTACCAACTGAAGTACCTAATTCAGAAAAACCATATGCTACACCATCAATCATGGTATTATATAATATATATAGTATTATAGTTAATGAAAGATGATGAATTAACTAATTTAAATGTTGGTGTTTTCTTTGATGCACCAGGATGGAATCACCCTGATGTTTTTGCTTTACATTATTTCTAAAGACTTATTGGTGATTATAGAGCTGATAAACATACTGGATTCCATTTGAATGCTCCAAGTAGATAATATAATACTATGCATTCTATTCTTGGTGGATTACCTGATGTTACATATTAAAGATGCGTTTATTACGCATATTCAGATACTGGTCTATTTGGAAATTATTTGATTGGTAATGAAGTCTTTGCTACTTAAATGGCATATGTCAGTCAAATGGTTTTATCTGATTATGCTTCATCAGTTGGATAAGTTGAAGTATTTAGAGCTAGAGCCAAAATTTTCAATGAATTATTAAGTTAAGAAAGTTCAGCCAAATAATCAAGAGAAATTGCTTAATAAGTTTTGTATTTTTTATTCACTATGATTTAGCTATTGGGGAAGAAGAGTACCAAGAAGTGAATTTGCTAGAAGAATATCTGCTCTTGATGCAGGTCATTTAACGAGAGTTGCTACAAGACACTTCTGGGATAAAGTATATATTTTATTAAATAATTTAATAGGATATCTCTGTTGTTGTATGGGGACCTACTCACTTATTAGATGCTGTTGCTCATTATAATAGATCATGGAAGAGAAGCACTTTAGGTGGATATGCATAACCATACTATGAGGGTTGATTCATTAAATAATAAATATAAAGTTTATTCAATTATTTTTAACTCTTGCTATATCTTTGTTATTCATTCTAAATTATTAGATAGGATTGTAAATTAATTATTAATTTAATAATTAATTTATACTTGTTTATAAAACCTTTTTGTAAAATACGAATTTATCATCAAGACAAGACAAGGACTTTCATCTTCATTCATTTGATTTTAATATTTTACTGTAAAATCTAATATTGATAGATTATTCATTAATCCTACTTATAGTATTACTATAGAATTATAACAATTGGGTTTGACATCCAAACTCAATTTATGAAGAACTCTAATCTTATTTTACGCAATGGACTTCTTTCTACTTATTTTGGAGTATTATTTATTTCATTTTGAAATGGTCCAAATCTTACATTTCTCTAATATGCTATCATACAACTTCCTTCTGGTTGAATATCACGATATTATTAATTAGATTCATTTAATGAACTTGTGCTTTTATGTCTTAAATTTAATCTATTCTCACAAGATAAAAAATTATAAGAGTTATTTCCTATTGATAATCTTCCATTTGACTCTCTCTTTGATAATCCTGTATCATCAAACTCTTCACTTTATTTTTACTACTTTGGTGAATAGATTTACTACATTAAATGCAATATATCCATCGCTTTTATTGATTACTATTTTGGTGGTGATATTGAACCAGATTTACTCTCTTAATAATTCTCATCTAGCCAATCAAATCTATATTCAACTTTTTATTAAAAAGTCATTTTTCTAAATAAGTATTGAAAATATCTATTTATCCAAATATTTTATTTACTTATAGTCTGGTTTTTCTCTATAACTCATTTTCTTTACTAAATCTATTATTTCATTAATTCTTATGGCAAATCTTAACAGAATTCTTAAGCTGAAATACTCATCTTCATCAATCCAAATGTTTTAACTTTCTCTTCTTCATATTTATAATTTACATTCTATCATGGCAAATTTCAGCTAAATAAAATCTTTTTAATGTATTTTCTATGCCTAGAATTTCTAAGAATATTCAAAATCTATACAATACTATAACCATTAGCCTTAAATAAATCAGAAAAGGAAAATTATTTTGATAAAATGACTAATAGATGTATCTGCAAAATTTCGATTGAAATAAGAAACTTTGTTTTTAATTATAAGTTTNCAATACTATGCATTCTATTCTTGGTGGATTACCTGATGTTACATATTAAAGATGCGTTTATTATGCATATTCAGATACTGGTCTATTTGGAAATTATTTGATTGGTAATGAAGTCTTTGCTACTTAAATGGCTTATGTCAGTCAAATGGTTTTATCTGATTATGCTTCATCTGTTGGATAAGTTGAAGTCTTTAGAGCTAGAGCCAAAGTTTTTAATGAATTATTAAGTTAAGAAAGTTCAGCCAAATAATCAAGAGAAATTGCTTAATAAGTTTTGTATCTTTTACTCATAAAAATTTAGCTATTGGGGAAGAAGAGTACCAAGAAGTGAATTTGCTAGAAGAATCTCTGCTCTTGATGCTGGTCATTTAACTAGAGTTGCTACTAGACATTTCTGGGATAAAGTATAGATATTTAATAATTTAAAAGGATATCTCTGTTGTTGTATGGGGACCTACTCACTTATTAGATGCTGTTGCTCATTATAATAGATCATGGAAGAGAAGCACTTTAGGTGGATATGCATAACCTTACTATGAAGGTTGATTATTAAATAATAAATATAAAGTTTATTCAATTATTTTTAACACTTTTTTTATCTTTGTTACTCATTCTAAATTATTAGATTGGATTTTTATATTAACTAAAAATAATATTCATTTAATTTACTTATCAACAGAACTTCTTTTTAGTATATTAAATTTATCATCAAGACATGGACTTTCATCTTCATTCATTTAATTATGACTATTTACTGTAAAATCAATTATCGAAGGGTTATTCATTAATCCCAATTAAAATTCTACTAAAGATTTATAACAATTAGGTTTCACATCCAAACTGAGTTTATGTTTAACTTTTATTTTCTCTTAAGCTGATGTACTTCTTTCAGGTTATTTTGGTAAGAGTTCCGCTTCATTATGAAATGATCCATATCTAAGATTCCTTTAATATGCTATTAGACAACTAACATCAGGCTATATATCGCTATATTATAAATTAGATTCATTAAAAGAACTAACACTTTTATTTTTAAGATTCATTCTACTATCACATAATAGTAAATTATTATTTGTATTATTGTTAATGATAGAGGGTCTTCCATTTGATTCTCTCTTAGATGGTCCAGTGTCATCGAATTCTTCACTACACTTTTTTTTATTTGGCGAATAGATTTATTAAATCAAATAAGATTAATCCAAAATTTTGATTGATTACTATTTCTTAGGTGATGTTGATCCTGACTTTTTCTCATAATTAAATTCATCATACCAATCAAATCGATATTCAACTTATTATTAATTTGAAACTCGACGAAATAAAGATTAAAAATATCTAAATAAAAAGTTACAATTAATTTACCGATAATCTGGTTTTGAGTGATAATTCATTTTTTTAACTATATCTATATATCTCATAAATTCGATTGGTAAATCTTAACATAATTCTTGAGCTGTTATTCTCATTTTCATCAAACCTACTTATTTTACCTTCTCATCTTCATTTTTATAACTTATATTCTACCATGGTAAACTCCCTTTTAATAGAAATCTCTAAATTAATATCTCAAGTACATTAACATATATCCCAATGATTCTAAATCATCCTTTCTTGATAATTCATAACCTTTGTGAGCAGCTATACTCGCATATCTAGATGTTCCCAAAAATGGTTTGTTTTCTCTATAAGGACTTTTATGTTAAATCTATTTTATTTACATAATTTTATCATCTTTATCTTTAAATTGCTTTGCTATTCCATAATCTACAAGATAAATAAGATTCTACTCTCTTTCCTTGCCTGTTAATATATTTTCAGGTTTTAAATCTCGATGAATAATTCCCCTTTCTTGAAATAAAATTTTACTTGTTATGAATTACTTCAAGAATTGTTAACATTTAATCAGCTATTCCTAATACACATCCCAAACTAAAACGTTTTCTTTATCTTAAATAATGTGTTAAATCTCTTCCTAATAATTGAATTACCATCACATTATTCCCTTAATCTTTACCAGCCCATAACAATTTAGGAATTTATGCTACTCCTTATAAATTTCTCAATATTTAAATCTAAATATAAGATATTTTTCACTCTACTTCTCTATCCAAACTAAATAAATCATCAATCTCTTGCTTTTCTACTTTTATAGCTACATTTTCTGTTGATCTTAAGTCAAATCCTTAATATACAACTCCAAATGAACCAGAGGAGATCCTCTTTTTTATTACAAATTAATTATTGAATATCTATTATGATACCATAGCCATATTAATTAAATATATATATTCAAAGCACTTTTATATTCTTAATAAACTTATTGATGAAAAATATTATTTTGTAATACATTTCAGAATTCTATTATCATTAATGTTTTATACTATATTTATCTACTTAAAAATAATAAATCATCATCCAGTTAAGGTGAGGATGGCTTAGACAGTGTCATTGTCTGATTTTCTAAGGGCTTCCACAGCTTTGCTTCTATCACATTTGCAATGTTCCATAACCATTTTAATTGATTCAGGTGGAATGCCTTCATCACTTACTTACTCTTAAGTTTATGCCTATTATTATTCATGTTTTTCTTCGACTTATTTGGTACTATGTTTTAAAAATTAAATGATTACACTTGTTAAGCCAAATTATCAGCTTCTTTTTTACCAATTTAACCAGTTGGATCATGTACTTTAGCTTCTCCAAAAACAATGTAAGAATTGTCTACATTTGCTGATTTTAAGACTTCTGGGTTATCAATATAAAGAAGGAATTATTTTCCTCTTTTAATTGTGACTCTATTAATTCCAGCTACTGGTTTCATTCCTAATTTAAGCATAGCCTTTTTGAATTTCTTTTCTCCTCTATTAGCTTTCTTGTCTTTATCATCTCCTCCTTTATGATCATGATCATGACCATCATCTGAATCTGAATGATCATGAGCATGATCGTGATCGTGAGCATGATCATGCTGATGTTCTTGTGTTTATTCCTTTTATTCTTGAATTTCAATCTCCTTCTCTTCAGCCATTCAAAATAATTTTTAATTTAAATTTCAATCTTGATTAAATTTTTCAAATGAGGAAGAATTTACAATTAATATTTACAATATAATATCTGATATATAAAAATGATTAGATTCTCATTGTAGAAAGGATAATAAATATTGAGAAAACAATTATAAGCATTCTCAACTCAATAGAATCTCATAGAAATATTCATAGATGATGTACCTCATAAAGTATGAGCTCTAATCTGATAGAATATAGGTTGATCCATCAGCAACAATATTTTAAGCATGTTATTCTGCAGGTGTAATTATTCCAAGATTTTGTTATCATGAAAGATTAGCAGTAGCAGGAAATTGTAGAATGTGTTTAGTTGAAGTTGAAAAATCACCAAAGCCTGTATAATTAAATAATTATTCTAAAAGGTTGCAGCATGTGCAGCTTAAGTAGCTCCAGGAATGAGAATTCTTACAAAAAGCGAGAAGACTAGAATAGCAAGAGGTGGTGTGATGGAATTCATGTTAGCTAATCACCCTTTGGATTGCCCTATTTGTGATTAAGGAGGAGAATGTGATTTATAAGATATTTCTGAGCAATATGGGTATTAAATTATTATATTATTAACTCAGATATGGTGATAGTAGACATAATGAATATAAGAGAGCAGTTGAAGATAAGAATTTTGGTCCATTAGTAGCAACAAGTATGAATAGATGTATTCATTGCACACGATGTATCAGATTTTCAGATGAATATGCTGGTGTAACTGAATTAGGAACTAGTGGAAGAGGAAGGAATACTGAAATCGGTACATACATTGACAAAATGATCACTAGTGAATTACAAGGAAATCTTGCTGATATCTGTCCAGTTGGTGCATTAACCAATGGGCCTTATGCATTTACATCAAGACCATGGGAATTAAAGTCATA